GGGCGGGGTCGTCGCGGCGACGCGCGTGCGGAACTCTGGTGGCGCCATCATGCTGAGCGGTGGCGTGCGGCGCAGTGGCGGCGACGCGGCGACAACGTTGTTGCGTGGTGGCGGCCTTCCCTTCGCGGCGCCGCTTGTTCCGCGGAACGGAGCTCCGGCGAACGGGTCGTCGGCGGAGCGCCGCCCACGCTGAAGACTCGCCGTCTTTCGCCTGAAGGGGGCAGCACCAAAGATGTCGTCGGTCGGCGGCGGAGGTGGCGTCGTCGCGGCAACGATACCGATCGTCGAGCTGCTCTTCGGAAAGATGGCGCCGAAGACGCCATGACGGACGACGGTGGCGGCCTCGGCAGGCCGCGCCCCCTGGTGGCCGTCGTCGTCCGACGCGTCGGCATCTGCGAGAAGTGGCTCGGCGCCGAGCGCCGCGTACGTGGCGCCATCTGGCATGCTCTTGCTCTTCGGCAATCGCGCACTGATGAACGGAAGGAAGTGAGTCTCGCCGCCGCCGCCGCCGTCCGCGTCCGCCGTCACCCCCGGCGACCGGAAGGCGGCGCCCTCTTCTGGCGAGTCGCTCGAGTTTCCTGACGCGTCCTGGTCGGCGATGATCGGGCGATTCTCGAATCGTGCGCCGAGCCGCACGTCGGCGCCCTCTGGCGGCAGCGACTCTGGGAACTTCACGTACATCGAGCGGTCGGACATCGGCGTTGCCTGGTAGGGGGCGCTGTCGAAGTCTAGATGTCGATCAGCGGGGGAGAGGTGTCCACCTCCTCCTCCGCCGCCGCCTCCTCCTCCTCCTCCTCCTCTTCCTCGAGCAGAGTCACGGTCGAGATCGTCTCCCGAGTCGTCGCCGGTGGCGCCACCTTCCTCACCTAAAACAGAAGAACGTCTTTTACTATGACGGCAGCGGCATCTCGTGGCGAGTCGGGGAACTAACGAGCGCGGGACGAACGACAAACCACCGAAAGACCTTCCACCAGAAAAAGTAGTTCCGAGCAGACGAGAGAACGCCGGCGCGAGATAACGAGTGAAAGGCTAGCAGCTCAGCACGAGTAAACTCCGCGTCGAACCACGGTTTCGTTTCGTAAAAACTTCCGCGAAATCCAATCCGAAAAATGAAAAACGAAGACGATACGTCCGTTTTCGACAAGAATGACACGAGTTTTTATTTATTGCGTAGAGTACACACTCGCGAGGACTCTCGGCTAAAGGCGCACCGCAATCACGATGACTACAATCAACGATGTCGCACGAGATGACGTCACTGTACACTACGCCCCCGAGCTTCTACACACGCACGCACGCACTAACGTACACACGCACGCACGCACGCACGCACGTACATACACATGTACATGGACATGTAAGCACTTACATACACATGTACATGGACATGTAAGCACTTACATACACATGTACATGGACATGTAAGCACTTACATACACATGTACATAGATATGTAAGCACTTACATACACATGTACATGGACATGTAAGCACTTACATACACATGTAAGCACTTACATAGTATGTAAGTGCTTACATGTGTATGTAAGTGCTTACATGTCCATGTACATGTAAGCACTTACATACACATAAGCATGCACGCCTGCACTTATGTACACATGTACGCACGCAAGCACACACACACGTGTGACACGGTGCATAACGGTGCAAGACAACAGTGGGAGAGAAATGCATAAAACAAGCGACACCCGGCTCGGTGGTGTGGCATCACCAAAAACTCACGCGAGAATTCCGATAAAAAATATGATAAAAAAAAGAACAAACAAACAAAAAAGCAACAGTTAAAAGATGTAAATGTCTAGCCGAGCGACTCACGCGGTTACGACTTAGACATTTTGACTAATTGGGGAACTTGTCGTTGCTATGACGTCAGCATGATTGTCTCAGATAAAAACGCGAGAAAAAAACATTTCGGTTTTCTTCAATTCTTACCGAGTTAACGTTAACCTCGGCCTACACTCGAAAAATCGGAACGCAAAGGCGTTCAGATTTAAGTGATTGATTATCATGCGATTAAATGACAAAAGAGAGCTATTTCACTTACTACTACAACTACACAACAGGCAGACACAGCGTTGTATCGTGTTTGACACTTTATCCTAAACAAAGTAATCACTTTAAACTAGTTAAAGCCAGTTAACGTATTTCATACATCTTTGATAAGCAAATCACTTGTAAGTTCAAGTTTAATAACAACATACTAACGTGAATGTATATATATATATATACACATATACCCACACATTTACATAGATTGTGCACATATATATATCAAGCAGCAACACACGATTAAATCACTACCAAATAAACCAAATCAACAGAAAACCAAAAAAAAACTAAACAATGTGCTCAACCTCTACCGCCACGCTCTACGATCGGCCACCTGGTGGATTGTCCCGACATTACTCGCCCGTCGCCCACAGAGCCGCCGCAGGGCCCGAAAATTCTCCGCACGCTCGTCGCCACGGCGACGGGCGCCTCCACTCCGGCGAGCGGAGGGGGGAGGCGCAGCGAGGGGCAGGACAATCGACCACGCGACCCATCACGCGCGAGAACGCGAGGAGTGGCGCCCCCTGCCGCGCGCGAGAACGCGAGGGGTGGCGCCCCCTGCCGCCCCGCCGGGCGCGACGCGAGCCGTGTCCGCGTCGATGGGGGGAGTCACCCACGGGTAGCAGCGTAAAGTGTACTTAACTTACTATCGTCACCCGAGCTCTGCCGCGCACCGGGCCGTGCTAACGCCGTAAGCATTAAAAGAAAGAATAGGACAGTTAGTAAGAACCGACATGACGACGACGAAGGAAGAAGACCGAAGAAACGGCCACAGTAAACCAGAGACTGAGCGAGCGCGAGAGAGAGAGAGAGAGAGAGACAGGGAGAGAAGGGGGCACAGACAAGTAGCAGCACTATGTTAGCGAAACACAGACTGTCGGCGCGTGCTGGGTATTTTAAAAGAACCGATCGTTATGCGTGCTGGGTGTTAGAAAAACCGGTCTACACGTGCCGGGTATTAGAAAAACATCTCTGCGCGTGCCAGGTATTAGAAGAACCGATCTCTGCGCACACCGGTGATTGGAAAGCATGCGAGGATAACACAAATGATTAGATTGTTCTTAAAAAATGTGAGTCGTGAAGCGGCGTGATGGCACGCGCCATGGTGCTTCTACATCCGCAGCCACCCCCCCCCCCCCCCCCCCCGCCCGCCCGCCCGCTCGTTCCACATCCTCCCGTCTCTATTTCACACAAAAAATGTCACTAACATTTTAGAATTTACATGATCTCTGATCTCCGAGTCTGTGCGGCAAGATTTATTCATCAAGACTCCCCTTTGACAAAACATTTCTTTAACATGATTTTATCGCCATCTCACCCCACCTCTGGTTGGTTAACAAAATTCTCTCCGTTTTATACGCAATTACGTTAAAAAGATTCGAAGTCCATTTTACGCGAGTGCCCTCCAATCAATTTCAACGATCATTTCTGTGTGTTCCGATTAAAAACCTCCCTTCAGTTCGAAAAGAATCAAGCGTGCGTTTTTTTTACACGAGCGTCCGCCATCGCGACCAGCGAGTGATCTTCCGTCAGCCCCCGACGCGACTTCAGACCGCAGTGCCCCCTGGCAGAGGATTCTGGCTCAGAGGCGCGTGACGCACGTGACGATTTTACCTTCGCTCGACGACACGGATCGCGAGCTGCCCGCCGACAGCGCACTCTGCTGGTAGTCGCTGCTACCCCCGCTGCTGCCCCTGCCCGAGCGCAGACCTGAAACAGCAAGAGATGCAGCGGATGAGAAACACTGATGGCGTGGAGGATACGGATACATAGACAATGATAGAGGAAGGAGAGGGAACACGCTTGAAGGAACACGCAAGATTGAGAGGGGCCTGACCACCACATCCGCGTACAGATAGATCTACATATAATATGCAATCTACAAGTAGATAGAAACATACATGTGTATAATACATACATCTGTTGACATGTATATATATATGTATGTATATCAAGAGCTAATATTACCTATTATTATATTAAAGGTATTGTTAAACAAACGTATGTCCATGCATGTACATGTAGTGCGCGTGTGCGTGTGCCGCATAGCCCAAGGACGTGGACTAAATGCTAGACCATGATGACTGGATAACACGACGTCACGCTCACCTTTCTTCAGAAAGGGGGCGCCAATGAATGGATCGCCGGCCGAGGGCTCATCGTTCATGATCAGGCTCTCCCTGCTCTTCACGTTGGATGTGCCTGAAACACAATGGCAGCACGACTCTACTATATGTGGACTCATCTATCTATCTATCCATCTACATATACGTATATATAATGATAGTATCTGGATTGAGAGAGTGCAAGCGAGTGAGAAAGAGAGAGACAGGGAGAGAGAGAGAAAGAGAGAGAGAGAGAGAGAGAGAGAGAGAAAGAGAGAGAGAGAGAGAGAGAAAAAAAAGAGAGAAAAAAAGAGAGAGAAAGAGAGAGAGAGAGAGAGAGAAAAAAAAACGATAGAAGAGAAAGAATGAGAGAGAGAGATCGAGAGCGAGAGCCACTAAGACTGAGAAAGCTAGGAGAAAGAGACAAGAAGAAGGCGAGAGAGAAAGAGACAGAGAGAGAGAGAGAGAGAGAGAAATAGAGAGAGAAAGAGGCAGAGAAGACAGAGAGAGATAGACAGGAAGAGAGCACACGACAAACACAGAGGGCGCCACTCACTGCTCGTCGAGCCGCGGCGAATGCGGTCGAACTCCGTGCCGAAGATCACGTCCTCGTTCAGCTCTCCGAAGTTGTCCGCTTCCTGGAACGGATTCCATTCGATAACGTCCGCGGAGAGAGCGCGCTGCGGCGAGGCATGCGGAGACGTCGCCGGCGACGCAGACGCCGACTTGGCCTTGGTCGTCACGGTGACGGCGGAGGAGGCAGAGGGGTCGCACGGCGCCAGCATGTCACTGTTGTAGGCTCTGCGAAGAGAGGAGGAGGAGGAGAAGGACACTGGTGTGTTAGATAGCGTGGTGACACTTGTACGTTAGATTGGTGACATCAGTACATTAGTTTGATGACACTTGTATGTTAGACAGCGTGATGACACTGGTACGTTAGACAGTGTGATGACACTGGTACGTTAGTGTGGTGACACTTGTACGTTAGTTTGGTGACACTGGTACGTTAGTTCGATGACACTTGTATGTTACATAGTGTGGTGACACAAGTACATTAGTTTGGTGACAGCAGTACATTAGTTTGATGACACTGGTACGTTAGCATGGTGACACTGGTACGTTAGTCTGGTGACACTGGTACGTTAGTCTGGTGACACTGGTACGTTAGTCTGGTGACACTGGTACGTTAGTTCGATGACACCGGTACGTTTGACACTTGTTGCAGCACCGGTATCTTACGGCGTCACCCTGCTGACAAAGCCTCTGCGGAGGAGGCAGGCACCCGTTTGTCATCATCCATTGACGTAAGATATATGGTATATATGGATACCATAAGCCTCTGCGGAGGAGCTGTCATCATCCATCTACTCGTATTGTCACTCTATACACTCCAACGTACAGCTGGACAGACATACGAGCAAAGTCCGCCGCCGAACTAGCAGACGTGGTGCCACCTACCTGAATGCGCTCTTGCTCTTGCCCGCCTCGCCCAGCAGCGCCGCCGTGTCGCTCTGGTTGCGTCTGTGCGTCTTGCCACCAGGTGGCGAATCCGGCGGCGTAACCGCCACGAGGGGCTGCTCCTCCGCGCACGCCACCGCGGCGTGCACGGCAGTGCCCCCTAGCAGCGACTTTGGTTTGGGCGCGATCTGCGGCTTCTCGCGCGGCGCGGTCGCCGCGGCAACGGGCTCGCCGATCGCTGGTTCAGCCGGGTCGACGGTGGCGCCACCACTGCAATGAAATATGACACCATGCTGAGGCATGTGGACAATGTGTGTGCATATATACATATATATAAATACATATACATATATATATACATGTGTGTGTATGTCAAGTGATTAGAGCAGATCCTTCATCCTCCTACGGACCTACACTGTAATAATGAATACGTCGTGGTCCACGACCTGACCTGCTACAGTCAAACTTGTACACAAGGGAGCGGGAAACTCCCAACAGCAGTTCTCTCGCGCGTGCACGCCGAGGACCCTTTAATGCAAACTGACAACCTTGTTGTGCCACGTATCGCATCGTCTCTTAGAACTCCTATCAAAGCCCTGATTGGCTAGTAAAGCCAAGTGATGCACGCACGGCATGCTCAGAAAAGACTCCAAAAAAGGCAGCGAAAGGAAGAAAAAAGGAAGGAGGAAGAAGAAGCCCCCCCCCCAGGGTTGCTCCCCTCTCTCCCCCTCCCGTCCCCACCCTCTCCCCCGTACCTGGCCTGTGCATTCATACTGAAATCGTCGCTGAATCCAGATATCACAGATGTCGCTGAGAGGTGCTTCTGCCGCTGCGGCGGCTGCGCTTGCGACTGCGCGACGACGCCCGACGGTGGCGCCCCCGCGGCCACCGTCGCTGCGCTGAAGTCGTCGCTGAATCTAGACGCGCGGAGAGGCAACGTAGATTATAAAATACAAATAGAAATTACATTTTATAATTATTATTTGCAATTTAAACCGACCGTTACCGATACCATTGATGCACTTACTGTCTGGAGAATATTAGAATGTGACATTTATACATATATATATAATTATTTATACATACTAGATAGATGGATGCATGGATGGATGCATGCATGCATGCATGCATGGATGGATGCATGGACGGATGAATGGATGCATGGATGGATGGATGGATGGATGGATGGATGGATGGATGGATGGACGAACGGACGGACGGACGGACGGACGGACGGACGGACGGACGGATGGATGGATCCCTGGACGGATGAATGGATGCATGGATCAATGGATGGATGGATGGATCCCTGGACGGATGAATGGATTCATGGACGGCGCCCCCTAGTGAGCTTACCTCGACGACGGTGGCTGCGGCTGCGGCGGTGGATCCTCCTTGCGCGGATCGAACTCCGGAATGTTGACTCCCTTCTGACTAGCGAGCGACAGCAGCTCCTCCGAGAAGGGCTTCACTAGAGAGAGAGTCGAGACGTGAGATGCCGAGACACATAGAGAGTTGAGACGTGAGTCGCCGAGACGTTGAGAGGGTTGAGACGTCAGATGCCGAGACGTTGAGAGATTAAGATACGTCGTTTGTTAAAATTCATCACGCGTTATTTTTAATACCGTGTTTAGAAGAAAGAGATAGACAAATAGGAGTGAGAGAGAAAAGGAGGAGGGAGGTGGAGAGAAAGGGAGGAGGGAGGTGGAGAGGCAGGGAGGCAGAGCAAGAGAGGGAGAGAGAGAGAGAGAGAGGGGGGGGGGAGAGAGAGGGGGGGGGGGAGAGAGAGAAGGGGGAGGTAGAGAGAGAGAGCGAGGAAGGCAGGGAAAGACGGAGAAAGTGAGTGAGATAGAGAGAGATAGAGAAAAACAGAGAGATATAAGGGAGAGCAGAACAACGATCGTTCGCCTACCTTCTACGACAGGTGACGGATCCATGCGTATCAGGTCGGGGGACAGGTCACAGAGAATGCCCTCGGCCACACGCGACTCCTGCTGTAAAACAATAACAGAGGGCGCCTATAGAAGCTTCACCGCAAGTTTCTTTCACATGTGGCAGCATGATACATGCAGATTTCTCGTCTCTAGAAGCATTGGGAAATTTCTCATCTGCTATATTCGACATGTTAGAGGCAAAAACATACGATATATACACAAGTATAATTTTAATCATATAAATAAATATAGTATATAATAGTAATAGTAGTAATAGTATAATAATTAGTAATATAATAAATAATTATAGTGCTAATTACATATATAATTATAGTGCTAATTACATATATAATTATAGCTAAAATTATATACATACTATATATATAACTAGTTCTAACCATAACCATAATTATAATTATAGATATAATAAAAACCAATTGTTCTCTGACAAATCACGCGACAAATCTACAATCGAGCGAACAAATCTACGTTACCGGCACGGCCAGCTGCTCCTGCTGATTGGCTGCTAGCGCCCTCTGCTGGATCGCGGTGAGGTAGCGGAGGGCGAGCTCGGGATCGGTGAACAGACGCTGCGCGAGCCGCTGAGCCGTCTGAGCGTCGCTCGCAAAGTTCGACGCGACGTACATCGCCTGCGCCGGCGTCAGCGGCCCCGCGCGCTGCGGTGCTGCCACCTCCTGGATCGGCGCGGAGGCGGCGGGAGTGGTGTCTGGCTGAGGCGCGGCGGCCTGGCGCATCAGTACGACCGGCTGCTGCTGCTGCTGTTGTTGTTGTTGTTGTTGTTGCTGCTGCTATTGTTGTTAATGCTGCTGTTACTGCTGCTGCTGCTGTTGTTGTTGTTGTTGTTGTTGTTGCTGCTGCTGTTGCTGTTGTTGTAGATGTTGCTGCTGCTGTAACTTCATCTGTAATTGTAGCTGTTGCTGCTGTTGCAGTTGTATCTGCTGCTGCTGTTGCTGCTGTTGCTGCTGTAGCTGCTGCTGTTGCTGTGGTTGCGGTTGCGGTTGTTGTTGTTGCTGCTGTAGTTGTAGTTGTAGTTGCTGTTGCTGTTGTGGTTGCTGCTGCTGCTGTTGTTGTGGTTGCGATTGTTGCTGTTGCGGCTGCTGTTGTGGTTTTGGCTGTTGCTGTTGCTGCTGTAGTGGTTGTGGCTGTTGCTGCTGTTGCTGTAGTTGTAGCTGCTGTTGTTGTTGTTGTTGCTGCAGTTGTAGTTGCTGTTGTTGCTGCAGTTGTAGTTGCTGTTGTTGCTGCAGTTGTAGTTGCTGTTGTTGCTGCTGTTGTAGCTGGAGTTGCTGTTGTTGCTGCTGTTGTAGCATCTGCTGCTGCTGCTCGTGAGTGAACTGGGAGCTAGGTTGAACTGCCACTTGGTCCGTCTGAGCATTAAGAATCTCCTGAGCCGCCATCGCCTGGGACGCCAGCGCCTCCTGGGCGGCCGCATGAGCTGCCCTCAGTGCTGCCACCTACAGGAACAAATAAGCAACAAATAAAAATCTGCAAAAAAAAACCAAAAAATAAGACAACGATCGTGGGGCCCAACTCTCGTCACGCCGCTCTGCCGACAAGTGGCACCACCTACCTGCTGGGCGAGGTTCTGCCGCTGCTCCGGCGTCAGCTGTTGCTGTGCTGCCACCTGCTGGACGTTCTGTAGCTGCCGCTTGAACTCCTCGTATTCTCTCTGCTGAGCAGCGATGTACTCCTCCGCCGTCATGACGACGGGTTTCGCCACGGCAACCGGCAGCACCGTCGCCACAGCGACGGACGTAGGCACCGTCGCTGTGGCAACAAATGGAGCCGGCGCCACGCTCGGGGTGACGGGCGATTGGCTGACGGAGACCACCTGATCTGGGGATTCGGCCGTCTGCGGCGGTGTGGTGGCTGCGCGCGAGAAAACACAAGAGCATCAGCACTGTCCAACAACGCTCACTCGCCCTGGCTCTCCTTGCAAGATGATGTCATCAGGGCGGATCGAACTTACAGCGAGCGATCAAGATGGAGCTCGTAAAAAAACGAACGTCCTTAAAACAAAAACTTAATTTTTATCGAAATTGCACGGACGACACAGCGATAGGTTGCTAGGAAAGCGGGCGAACACGCGGATCAAACGCTGGTGAACATACAGAAACATCGTGGCGTTCACATCACTAGCACATGTGGCAACAGACGGTGACGTTCTGGCAGCGTGCCAAACACGAGGCTTTCACATCGGCACCAGAGGGCGCTACGACGCAGACAACGCAAACATCACACGCTATACGTGACATCACTGCCACCACCAGGTGGCGGCACAAACGACACGAGCTATACACGACATCACTGCCACCACAAGGTGGCGACACAAACGACATGCGCTATACGTGACCTCGTTGCCACCACCAGGTGGCGTCGAACGCCCGACGTCCCGCGCCGCCCAGAGCGTACTTGTAAGACGAAACTCGTAAGCGCACACAAATGCACGAACAAACACACACCTGGCGAGTCACTAACAGGTAACTGGGGGGTGGCGGTAGCGACGGTGGCGGCGGTGGTGGGGGTGACGTTGTTCTGTGGCTGTTTACCGGCGATCGCCGCTAGTTTCGTGAGCAGTCCAGCGCCGCCCTGGTTCGCCTGAGACGCCTTCGGGCGCCGCCGCGGCGCCACCGACGTACCCTGCTCCACCTGGATCGCTGTCGGCCTGCGCGAGACAAGCGAACAGCCGTCAGAAAGGACAAGCGAACAGCCGCTGGAAGCATTAACAACGCAAACTCTCATTCCCATGGAATTGAGAATGGAATCATCAACATGCTCGTTATCGCATGTTACAAGATTAGCGATTAACACGCGGGTTTGCTGTGGCGTCAAAAATATTTTTTTGCAATGATCGCATAAATTTGATGAATTACATTATTTGATTATGATTTAAGCTTCTAAAGAGATTTTCATGCTAAATTGCATGTTATTTCGACGGTGGTTTGTATAGATGGTTGCCTAAATATACCATTAAAAATAAAAATCGAGGCGCGGTGGAATTACCTGAGGGCTTTCGATGTTTGCTTTCTTGACTCGGTCTCGCTCAGCGGCAGTGCCAACTTACTGAGGTCAGGAACGGACACATTCTAGAACGACGGAGAACACAACACTGTGCTTGCGGCAATTCTAACATTCCTCACGTAGATCAACAAAGGTTCTCCACAAACATCGTCCACGCTTACTACTACAGTCATGGCAGCAAAATAATGATGACAGTATAATAATAATAATAATATTTATTAATATTATTATTATATTAATATTATTATTATATCATTATTTATCATTTTACCTATTTATTATTCATTATATATTATTATTATGTTATTTATTATTAATTCATTTATCTATGCGGTTTGTATGAATCAGTTATAATGTACTTACAATCACACATGCACGCATGCACACAGACACGCGTAATACTCACAAACAGGTTATTGACTGGGCACTGCACGCTAGGATATGCGATCTTGAAGGCGACGTGGGCGACCTGGTAGATGTCTGGTCTCCGTTCCGGGTCCGGCTCCAACGTATAACCTGCGAGCGGAATTAATTACGTCACTTTTAATTACGAGTGATGCAAATCAGGGGCGAGGCGCTGTCCGAGGGTTGTCGACAACGTGCGTAAACGTAACCTGCGAGCGGAAAAGCCGACGACACGCGCGTCAGTAGCTGCCGCGGTTCGCGTGCAAAAGTCGCACGTTGGTTTTCTCGTAAATTTCCCGGGAGTTCACCGGAAGTTTTCCGGGAGTTTTCCGGGTTATTTCCACACTTATTCCGAAATGCCGAGACCCCGCAGCGGACGGGCGGCGAAGTTAGCGTTCTGTATCGCCAGCGTGCTGTCACCGCTAGGGGGCGCCGCCACGCAGTACTTACGTATGAGGCGGTGCAGGTCGGGGGAGTAGCGCGAGTTGTCCGGCACGGTGAAGCTAGCGTTCTGTATCGCCAGCGTGCTGTCACCGAACGGAGTCGTTTATATATATATTTATATACCTATATAGTATTCGTCGCTCACATGCACTGCTCACAATTCGTGAATTTCTAGTAATTAAATAACCCCCTCGGGCTACGTATGCACATGCAGATACACACGCACGCACGCGCGCAGACGCGCGCACGCACGCACGCACACACACACACACAACCGAACAGAGCGAGTGCCCCCGCACTGGGGCACCCTCACCACCTAGTAACGCTTCATATGTTGCGGGCGCGCGTCCGCACGCCAACAACACCTATAGGCTTGCATGCAATGCTAAATCTACCGTTGCGAGCCCGACGGAAGGTTTGACCATTTCCGTGCACGCACGCACGCACGTACGCACGCACGCTTATTTGCTACGATAGGATTAAATTGGAATTAGACTACTGGTCTGGTCGCCTGGTCGTGGCGTATGACTGTAGCGAATAGAACGCTAGGTCGACAGCGGAGTTATTCCAACTGGCCAGTGTTCGCTCCGGACCAGAGTGGCTGCTCGAGTGCGCTCTTTGTGACGCGATGCGATAACACAGAGCGAAGGGTGGGGCGCGCTGTTACGAACAATGCAGTTAACATACTGGAATGTATCAGCTGGTAGATAGATAGATAGATAGATTGCTAAATAGATAGAGAGCGTGCGAGAGAGAGGGAGGGGGTGGGAGTGAAAGAGAGAAAGAGAGAACGAGAGAAAGAGACAGGGGGGGGAGAGAAATAGAGATAGATAGATAGAGAGAAAGGAAGGAACACAGAAAGCGAGAGAGAGAGAAAGAGAGAGAGAGTGAGAGAGAGAGAGAGAGAGAGAGAGAGAGAGAGAGAGAGAGAGAGAGAGAGAGAGGGGGGAGGGAGAGAGATAGAGCGAGCGAAAGAGAGAAGGGGTAGAATGGAGGGGAAGCGCAGGCGAAGTCGCGAGAGACACGTTTTTTTGTGAAAGAATGCGCGCGGTCTCCGCTGTCCGCATTACACTCCGGTAAATACAGGCTAGATAGAGAAAACACTCCCTCATCCGATATGTGTTGGGGAGATGATGGGGAGGAGGGAGAGGGGCAGACGAAGGGAGGAGCGGGCGAGAGGATGGGCGGGCGATCTCGCCTCTGGCCTCTGCCGCCGCTAGCGGCAGCCGCGTTTCCAGCGGCCGCGTAGATTCCTCGGTCGTTGTGGCTGCAAGTGTTTATCATTAAATGCATGGCATCGTGTGTACTCGATACTGTATTTGCATTTCATATCAAGCTGCCGCGGCGCTCGCCGCCCCCGTCGTATATATACGTGGCATGTGCCTGTGCGGTTGTTGCGTGTGTGCCTGCGCGCGTGCGTGCATGCGCGGCTTCGCTATCCCTCTCTTGCCTTCTCCTTCCCCCCGTCCCTTCTCCCTTAGCTTCCCGCCGGCGCTCGCACACTTATGGCTGTCTGCTGCCTGCACGCACTGACTGCGTGCGGGCGGGCAAGTACGCCTGGGCGCGTGCCTGTGTGCTGCCGGGAGCTTGCAGCCCCGCGATGTGCTGCGGGCGTCCTGGCTTCCTGCTGCACCAGCCGTCGTTTTCGTGTGTGCCTGCGCGCGTGCATCGTGTGCTCAGTCGGTGCGTGCAAATAGGGCGCTGCTGTTGTGCGTGCCTGCATGCAGTGCGTCGGCGCGTGCGTGTGTGGCGCGTGTGCCTCGGCGCTGTGCCTACGTGTAGACCCGTAGACAACGACCCGATAGGATATAGAACGGTATCCATAGGAAATATCCTTAATGAAATTCACACGTATATTTTTCAGCCTGGCGGCACACTCGGTGTGTTCATTCCCGATTGTAAGCTTTCTTGTCAATTCCCCGAAAGAGTTTTGCTGCCGCTCTCTCATTAGTCCAGCAATGCCAACCCTCTAGAATTTTCAGTACAGTGCATGTATGACCACGCTGAAACAATCGTGCCCCCCCCCCCCTTATATTCAATCAATGCCGCCCCTGCCAGCAGGCACGTACGGCAGCCCGTCGATGCTGCACAGCTAATTCACAACGTTGCCTCTGCGGGCCGTTTTCGCAAACGCCCTGAGCTTCCAGGAGCCCTTACGCGGGCCTTGGACCCAGCCGCAAGGAACTTCGCGTTATAAACAATCGATCCTCCTAGCTCGTACAGGCGGGACATTCCACATTTGGGCTAGCCGTAATAGTTCTGTGTTTAGCTGAACCTGTGACGTATTCACTATTCAAGGTGCCTATTTCGTGCTGTTGCTGACTTGTGAGTTGTGATTATCATGTTAGTCTGTCAGTCTGTTGAATATATCTTTGTCTTGAATATTGACTGTTTTGTGTCTGTGTTCTGGTGGCGGTTGTGTCTGTGTAGTGTGGTGCGACCGCCGCTGATGCTGCTGTGCTGTGTGTGTGTGTGTCGTGCGTGCCTGTGCGTGCGTGCTGCGCGTTGCGTTGCTGTGCGCGATGTGACGGTTGTTTGTGTGTTGTCAGCTGCGCGCCCCGCGAGTGTGCTATTAGCTACGTGCTCTGTGTGCTACATTTGATGGACAACTGAGCCCTGAAAAACTCCGTCTGAGTGCCCTGTGAAAGTGGAAAAGAGCCCTGGAAAATGAAAAAGTAAGCCCCGAAATTTTGAATCTTGGGGCGTGGTTGCAAATAAAGAGCCCCGGAAAAGAAAAAACATTTAATTTTTCACATGTACTATTATGTACATGTATGTATATTTAATCTCTCTCTCTCGTCATGCAGGTGCTAGGGTTCACACTCAACAAGCTGTGCTCTTTCCCCTCCCTCCCCTCCTTCCCTCCTTCTGCCTTTCCTTCTCCTCCTTCCCTCCTCCCTCCACTGTATCGAAGGTATTATTTATAGTAATGGTATAGTATATTAATCTCCTACTCTCTCGTCGTGCAGGCGCTCTTTGCGCTCGGTGTGCATGCTTCTCTACAAGCTGTGCTTCTTCCCCTCCCTCCTCTCCTCCCTCCTTCCTCCTGCACGTATCGATGTTTATATTCTATATGTAATGTATGTATATATAATCTCTCTCTCGTCATCGCAGGCATGCCGCTCGGGGTGCAACACTCATACAACGCTGCGGTGCTTCTTCCTCTCCCTCCCCTCCTTCCCTCCTTCCCTCCTTCCCTCCCTCCCTCCTGTATCGACTGTATATCTATATGTTACAGTATGTACTAATAATCTCTCTCTCTATCATGCAGGCGCTCGGTGCCATGCTTCTACAAGCTTGTGCTTCTGTTTCTCTACGACTTCCGTTCGGTTGACAGCACTGCTGGCTGATACAGAACGCTAGCTTCATCCTGTGCCCGGACACTGCGCTACTCCCCGACCTGCACCGCCTTCATACGCGTAAGTCTGCGTGGGCGGCCCCCCTAGCTCGGTGACAGCACGCTCGGCCGATACAGAACGCTAAGCTTCGCCGCCCTTGTCCGCTGCGGCGGGGGCGGACGCGTCTCTCGGCCCATTTCGAATAAGTGTGGAAATAACCCGTCAAACTCCCGGGAAAACTTCCGCGTGACTCCCGGGAAATTTACCGAGAAAACCAACCGTTGCGACTTTTTGCACGCGGAACCGCCGGCAGTACTGACGCTGCGTGTGTCGGCTTTTTCGCTCGCAGGTTACGTTTACGCCACCGGTTGTCGACAACCCGTTCGGACAGGCCTCGCCCCTGCATGTTGCATCACTCGCTACATTAAAAGAACTGACGTAATTATTTCCGCTCTCGCAGGTTATACGTTGGAGCGGACCCGGAAGGAGCCACAGACATCTACAGCGTCGCCCACGTCGCCTTCAAGGATCTGCCATCATCCTAGCGTGCAGTGCCAGTCAATACCTGTTTGTAGTATTCGCGTGTCTGTGGTGGCGATGCGTGCATGTGTGATTGTAAGTACATTATAACTGATTCATACAAATCCGCATAGATTAAATGAATTAATAATAAATCCAAATCAATAATAATATATATATGAAATAATAAATAGGGTAAAATGATCAAATAATGAGTCGATAATAATAATCCATTAATATAAAATAATATTAATAATATTATTATTATTATTATTACTGTCATCATTATTTTGCTGCCTGACTGTAGTAAAAGTTAAAGCGTGGACGATGTTTGTGGAGAACTTTTGTTGACTAGTGAGGAATGTGTTCAGATGATTTGCCCGCAAAGCACCAGTGGTGTTGTGTTCTCCGTTCGTTCTAGGAATGCTGTCCGTTCCTGACCTCAGTTAAGTTGGCACTTGCCCGCCCTGAAGCGAGACCGAGTCAATAGAAGCAAACATCGAAACCCTCAGTAATTTTCCACCGCGCCTCGATTTTTAGATTGTTGTATTTGTATATTTAGGCATACCATTCTATACAAAACCTACGTCGAATACATGCATTTCAGCATGAAAATCTCTTTAGAGCTTAAATCATAATCAAATAACTGTATTCATCAAATTATTGCGATCATTGCAAAAAATATTTTTGACGCCACACCAGCAAAACCCTCGCGTCGTAATCGCTAGATCTTTTGTAAACATGCGATAACGAGCATGTTTGATGATCCTTTCTCAATTCCATCGGGAATGAGAGTTGTTGCGTTGTTAATGCTTCAGCGGCTGTGTCGCTGTCTTTTCTGACGGGACTGTTCGCTTGTCTCTGCGCAGGCCCGAGGGCAGCGCATCCGGTGGAGCAGGGTCGTCGGGTGGCGCCGCGGCGGCGCCCGAGCACTCGTCCAACGTCTCAGGACCAGAGTGGCCGGCGCTGGACTGCTCACGAAACTAGCGGCCGATCGCGATAACAGCCACAGAACAACGTCCCCCACCACCGCCGCGCCACCGCTCGCTACGCCACCCCCCAGTTACCTGTTAGCTGACTCGCCAGGACGCTATGTGTGTTTGTTGGTGGCATAATTTGTTGTGCTGCGCTTACGAGTTGTCGTACAAAGTACGCTCTGGGCGGCGCACGGACGTCGGCTGCGTTCGACGCCACCTTGGTGGTGGCCAACGAGGCGGTCACGTATACCGCATGTCGTTGTGTCGCCACCTTGTTGGTGGCAGTGATGTCGTGCTATAGCTCGTGTCCGTTTGTGCGCCACCTTGGTTTCGGATGGCAGTTGATGTCACGTACTACGGTGTTATGTTGTTCGCTTTGCTGTTGTCTGACGTCGTAGCGCCCTCTGGTGCGATGTGAAAGCCTTCGTGTTTTGCACCGCTGCCCAGACGTCCACCGTTCTGTTGCCAATGGTAGTGACGCTGTGAAATCGCCATCGATGTTTCTGTATGTTCACAGCGTTTTGTATCCGCCTGGTGTTCGCCCCCGCTTCCTAGCAACCTATCGCATGTGTCTGTCTGTGCAATTTCGATAAAAATGTAGTTTTTGTTTTTAGGACGTTCGTTTTTTTACTGAGCTCCATCTTGATCCGCTCGCTGTAAGTTCGAGTCCGCTCCCTGGATGACATCATCTTGCAATGGAGAGCCAGGCGATGTGAGCGTTGTTGGACAAGTTGCTGATGCCTCTTGTATTTTCCTCGCGCGCAGCCACCACACCGCCGCAGACGGCCGGTAATCCCCAGCATCAGGTGGCGTCTCCGTCAGCCACATCGCACCCGTTTTACCCAGAGCGTGGCGCCGGCTCCATTTTGTTTTGCCACAGCTACGGTGCCTTGTACGTCCGTCGCCGCCTGTGGCGACGGGTGCTGCCGGCTTGCCGTCGTGTTCTCCCTGCCGAAACCCCGTCGTCAATGCAACCGGCGGCCTTTCGAGGACGTAATCGCTGCCTCAGCAGAGAGAATACGGTGAGTTCAAGCCGGTCACGCTTCTCACAGATCACCGCACGCTTCTCCAGTGGCACCGGCTCTGGCAGCATGCAACAGGCTGACGCCGGGCCCGCAGCAGCTTGGTCAGAACCTCGCCAGCAGTGTAGGTGGTGCACTTGTCGACTCGCAGTTGAGGCGGACCCCGTGACGCGAGTTCTGCGCTCCCCCACGATCGCTTCGTTTTTATTTTTTGGTTTTTTTTTGCAGATTTTTAATTGTGCCCTTATTTGTTCCTCGTACCCCACGGTGGCGCTAGCCACTGAGGCCCCTTGCAGTTACTCTATCTTCCGGCCCGCCCATGATGGCTGCTGGCGTCCCCAGGCCCACCCTCCCTCTTGTCGGGCGCGGAATCTTCTCTAGTCGAACCGGCTTCCTACCAGTGGCAGTTCTATCCTTAGCTCCCAGTTCACGTCCCAGTTCTCCTACGCAATGCAGCAGCAGCAGATGCTACAAACAGCAGCAACAACAGCAACTCCAGGCTTACCTTAATCAGCAGCAACACAGCAACTACAACTGCAGCAACAACTTCAGCACTTCTATACAACTGCCTTCAGCAACAACAGCAACCTACAACTGCAGCAGCAACAGCAACTCAATCAACAACACAGCCAGCTTACCCACCACACTACAGCACAGCCTCAGCAACAGCCACAACCACTACGCGAACAGCAACAGCCAAAACCACCAACAGCAGCCGCAACAGCCAAACCAATCGCAA